TTATCATACATGCTCTGCCACAATGTGGACAGTAGGCCATTTGCCTAAATTTGGGGGATCAATTTTATATAATACAAGCAAGTCTTTACTAATATTTTTTTCTAATTCAAAATAAAATTTTCGCTTGCTTTTGTCTGTGAAAGACTGTCAAATACCCACCTGATGTCAATGGTRCCAGTAGGTTAACCTGCCAGGGAAAATCAGTATATCACTTTGCAATTATAAGCACCTTCTCTGAATTCACAATAATTAGGGAAATGTTAGTTGCCAAGATTGATGCAGTTGCACCTCTGGACAAAGTATGCTTAATTAAGTCATGTTTTTCCTAGAAGATTTGGTGCTGCATTAGATAGCGCAAAAGTGAATGGCATTATTCCCATGTAATGGAATATGGATAAGTAGTTGAAAAACCATGCATCTGGTTCATGGCTGATCATAATGCCTGAGGAAAAAATTGTAAAACTACCCCCAAACACCTTTGAGTTCTCTTCTACCTGCCCAGTCATCCCATGCCCCATTCAACATCTTTTCCATTCCCTCTTGCTCAGTAGTAAATGACCAGTAAAGACTGGATGCCATTCACAGATAGAMATGAGGAATTCCTGGAAACATAACACTGTTTTAATATGACTGTGTCTCCTACATTCCAGTATATTCTTTCTTTCATTYAACAAACATCTRTRGAGCCATTCACTGTTCCAGGTGTTGGAACTCTGCTGCTGTCAGAACTCATCAAGCTTACATTCTACTGCGTAATATGTAGAGGATAACTTAACAATTTCCATGATTTTTTATTAAGTTTTGGTTGGTTTGATTGTTCTCATGTTATTATTACAAACTTTTTGTTTTGCAGGTTATAAATCCAGAGATTGTGTTCCTCGAACAGTGACTGATTACTTATAAAACAATATTAATATAGAATCATTATATTATTAACAAAATAATATTAATATTATTTTATAAGTAATCAGGTACCTTTTGAACAACTTCACAAAGCCTTGAGTTGTAGCACGCTGGGAAAATGTGGGTATTTTATTTGATGATCTCCTGTACACTGATAACATTCAGTGAAAATGACTTTGAAGATTTCTAAGTGATTTGTAAGAAAGAGATGGCTACTTGGACCTTTGATATATTTTACACACTTAACCATGTTTCTACAGTCACCAGGATAATAAAATGTTTTACCTGTGGGTCTCTCTTTGGGAAAAGTCACTCAACCTATTTGAGAGAGATGTTCAAGAATTCATTGTAACAATGAGAATAATCCTATTCCACATTATTCCATCATGTACTATTTTTTTATTAGAGAAATTATCTAAACAAATGAGTTGACATTTCTGGAATCAAAAAAACCTTGCAAGAACCCTTAGAGATAGAGGTTTAGACTTCTACAGAGGGCATAAATCCTTGTAGATCATTTTTAAAAATTGGTTTTCTGCTTCTGCTAGCACATAATCAAGGATGGAGCATTCACTCAGTAAGTGCTAATTTATTTGCATATTCTTTGAAAATATAGGTATTGATGGTGCACTGTTTGCCAAGACTGTCCTGAGTGCTGGAGATACAGTAGAGACCAAGAAATGAGCAATAGGCAAATACTCATAATTGTAAAGGATGCTTTAATTTTATTCATTCTGATTCCAGACAAGACTCCCTTTCACATTCTCCTCCCCCCCACACCCTGCAACTTTGCATGCTTGATTTGCTCTGTGATTTTTTAAATATATAGATCTATAGATTTTGCCATTATTCCTTGTTGTGTTTGACCTAGCACAACAGCCCATTTAAGTTAGGAATGAAATGTCAAGAAATCTGATCTGGAATTTTAGGAAGATTACTGGGCATAGGACACGGGAGGGCATCCAATCRGCAGTGGACACTCAGCAAAAGAAAACAAACATTTTTCTCCCCATGCAGAAGCTGGGAAAGATTTTGGAACTGAAAGAAGATGATCAGAAGCTGCAGCAGAGGGTTCACTGTCTCTGTGGTCATGCAGCCAGAGGAATGGTGCTCAAAGATGAGGCCTTCCTTTTATGGCTGAGGCTGGCTTCTAAACTGGACACGAGTTAGATGATAATAGTTCACCAGGTAAATGAGGGTGAAGGTGGAGCCAGGGATGGGGACTGGTAGGTGAAACAGTTTCTCAGGAAACAGTGCATTTTTTTTAACTAAAGTCACTATTTCCCAGGCAATTCTATCATTTCATTAGCATAATCTTATATTTCATTATCCAGTGTGTTGCGCTGTTTTGAAGTCTCAGTTGATAAGAAGTGCAAGGGCATCCTGAAAGGCTTCCTTCCTTTTCTGCTTCACATCCCTCATTTTTCCAGCAAAGTGGAAACAAAAGCACCAGAGATGAATGCAGTATAACTGTTCAAAATGAAATAAGTGCCTCTTAAATGTACAGATAATAAAATAAGCACTGAGAACTAATGCCATGTAACTCATTMTGTGACGTTAAAAATAGAAATTGTGGAATTTAATTCATTATAACACTGATATGTCCATAAGATTGACCTYTGTCATCAGTCTATGAAAATTGCCACCAAGTGATCTCTTGTGCCCATCCTCAGGGTACCTTCATATTTAGCAGATTTYTCTGCATCTTTCATACGACTCTAGATTTGATGTGATGATTTTTCTGCTTTTCCAACATGTGAGGGTGWCATTGTTGTGGTGTAAATAATCAATAAAATCAGTAAGAGCGTGAGTTATAGTTTATAGATTAGTAAAAAATAGAGATTATAGATATAAGATTTGGTAAGTCAGATAAGACAATTATAAAGCAAGAGCTGTCATAGACTCCATTTTGCTGCCTTCTGTAAAAAAAAAAAAAAACTGTTGCACAACCCATTTCTGAGAGACAGAAACAAAAGGAATCTTCTTATTAAAATTTGTTTTTCTGAACTTTGTACCCCACAGAATGTACCCAACTCAGGATATGTTGGTGGTCCTGGTGAGCTACATCCTGAGTTTGAGTACATTTATGGGTCTACATGACTTTCAAATAGATTCTCGCCCCTACTCAGCTGAAACTGATACAGTAGACTAACACTTATTGAGACCAAGATGTGGTTAAGCTAACTGCTTTTTTTAGCTTCTGTAACTTGCTTGCTTGCATGATGCTGAGAAAAGCACCTGAGTTATAGTTTTCATCCTTAAATTCCCAAGACACAATCTAGGAAATTGCTATTCTCCCACAGAACTTCAGTCTCTACAGGTGGGTAACAGTTCCTGGCCAGGTAAATAAAGCTCTCTTTGATTTGAATTCAGACTTAGAGTACTTTCTGAAGTGGCTTCTCAAAACATCATAAATCTTCACAAGTCTAAGGACATAGTAAGTCATTTTTTGTCCCAGGAGGTTCATCCATCCTTTGGTGAGGCATTATCCCTGTCTGTTTTCAAAGCCACAAGTCTATTGGGGAAATTTTGCCAACTCCACTCTGAGAAAAAGYATAGGGACCTCTAAGAGGGACTCATCCATATCTACTCCCTCATCGATTCTTTTCAAGCCCATTTTCAAAACCAAATTCAATATAGTCAATTCCTCACTTGGGTTTGAGTGATTAGGAGAAGAGAGAAAATTTATTACCTCTTATTTTGCTTTTTCACCTCTTATTTTCTATCTCTRYTTCAAGTCAGATGCTTTGAATTTTGAAATACAAAAGCCATAAGAAACATTCACTGTGTTTCAATGGCAATATTTCGTCCTGAGATTTGAGCCCAAGATGACTTAGTTAAAATTTAATGGGAGATATTACAAGTATTAAAGAGAAACCATAAAAACAAAACAAAAAAATACTAAAAAGTAATCAAAACCCTCCTCCCACAAACACATAAAAGTCTAGGACCAGGTAGCTTCCTAACTGAATTCTACTAAGCATTCAAAGAAGAATTAACACCCATATTTCTTAAGCTCTTCCAAAAATAGAGCTAAAGTGAATAATTCTAAATACATCTTATGAGGCCAGCATCATCTTAAACCCTAAGTCAGACAAATATGTCACATGAAAAGAAAACTACAGGTCAATCTTTCCAGTTAACAGTGATGAAAAATCCTTAATAAAGCACTAGCAATCTGAGTCCAATAACATGTCAAAAAATTATAGATCATGATCAAATGGAACTTATTTCTGACATGCAAGACTGTTTTAACATTTTCAAATCAATTTATGTGACACATCACATTAACAAACATCATAATGGGGAAAATAAGCAATTTAGAAAAAAAAATTAGCTGACATTCTAATCAATGGGAAAACAAAAACTAAAAGCTTTCCCAGTGAGATCTGTACAAGGCCCACTCTTGGCACCTCTCTCCAACATAGTACTRGAAGTACTAGAAAGAGCAACAAACAAAAAGAAAATAGAAAAGAAAGAAAGAAAAAGCTTTAATATTCAAAAGAAAAAAGTAATCTTATCCTAATTTGTAAATGACATGATCCTATAGATGAAAGGAACCCAAAGATTCCACCAAAATAAAACTGTTAAAACTAATAAGTTAATTTGGTAAAATTGCAGGACACAAAATCAGCATACAAAAATCAGCATCATTTTTATATAATGATCTAATAAAAAATCAAGAAAATTGTCCTTTTTATAAGAGCATCAGAAAAAAATGAGGTATTTAGGAATAAATATCACCATGGAAGGTAAAAGATCTGTATATTTAAAATTATAAAACATTAATTAAAGAAATTAAACAAGGCAAAAATACATTACATATGCTGTGTTTGTGAATTAGCAGAATTAGCATTGTTAAAATGTCAATTCTACTCAAAATATTATGCAGATTCAGTGCAATCCCAATGGCATTTGCACAGTGACAGAAAAAAACCTTTCTAAAATTCATATAGAACCACAAAAGATCCCAAATAGCCAAAACAATTCTGAGAAAGAAAAAATAAASTTGGAGCCTGTGGGGACAAGTGCATGGAGGACTCCATACATGGCAAAGGTTAAGGGCATCTGAGTGGCAGGCCACTCCCCCTGTCCTAGGCACGTGAGCAGCAGGCCACTTACCCCATAAGCACAGTCCTGGGTGTGAGGCCATGTGTTGGAGTCCCTGTGCTTGCTCCACAGCCCATGCCTCGATTGGTCGCTGTAAGGACAGTTAGCAGAAATTGATTTGGTGGCTGCCTGTAATCTGTTTAGCTACTACTACCTGAGTATATATACATGGTAACTGCACAATAAAATCAAAA